AAATGTTATTGGATATTTAGAAAGCTGAAAATCAGATATGTATACAAGATCGTAAATTTATCTATGTAAATTAAGAATCTGTCTATGTATATTAAGCTTGCTATTATATAAGAAGGTTAGTCTCAACCAAAAAAATGTAGATTCATTATAAAATTAGACTGTGATCTCATGAAGGTCATTAATCAAATAGGTGTGAATCGACTCTATTTTTTGTGATTTCGTGTGAATATTGTAGATTATTATGTACAGATGATTTTCTGCGTTTAGGTATGATTAGAGCCGATCTCACGTAATTTGATCGTTGATTGATCTCCCAAGAGAGTGAACGAGAGAAAAGGGTTTTGAGACGGACGAGAGATGGAGCAACCAGCAATCATGACGAAGGTCGAAAGAGCGCAAACGTGATCTAGTTTGCTCCAAGAGTCTGGATCCTTTGAGAGTTTGCCTTCTCAAGCCCTAGGATTTCTTGACAACTCGCATTTTCGCTGCTGATCACGGACAGTTCGTGAAAGTAAACATGAAGAAGGCTTTCACCATCTCATTCAAGAGGGAAAAATACCACTCCATGTTTGCTTCACTCGCCAGATGCGATTTGTTTTTATGACGATGAATACAAGGTTGCTACTGGTGAGAGCAAGAAGTTCTGCAACAAGTAGACCTCACCTTTGCGGTCTTATTCTCTTATGTATTTCAAGTATGATTCAGCAGTCTTGAGTTTCTAGAGCTGTTTGTCTTGTATTTTCAACTGTTTTACTGTGGAACAATATTACGGCTAAGCTGGTGTATTTTTGTAGGTTTGATTGACGATAGAGTAGTTTTTTACTTGAAGGTAAAAAATCTTTCTTCTTCTAATCTTTTACTTTCAAGTAAAAGATTAGAACTTCTTGGTGCTGAGTTACAAGTGGGGTATAGACGTAACAAAAATTGATAGATTTCTAGCATAAAGTGGAGATGTTGGCTTTCCAAAGCCAACATTTTGAGTGATGCAGGCAAAGCATTTTCTTTAATTTTTTCTTCAATATGTGCTGTCAAAATTCAAAAACTTGATCACCTCAACAGTTGGGGAGACTACTTGGAAGCTCGTATTATTACCATTTGAATGGTTTTGGTTCGGGACATGTCCAATAGAAACAGCCAATGTGCTTGATTGTACTGAAATATGTCAGCTACATGCAGCTGTCAATCCTCTTCAGCATTTAGACTTAATTCATTACTGGTTCGTTCAGCTCGTTTTTTCGTTGTTTACAAGCCTTTTTGTTCTTGTTTTTAGCCTCTATCTATGATGACGTCCAAGAGTGAAATCTTGCTGCATTTTTATTAAACAGTATTGACTAGTAAAGAAGATAAAGGTGTTCTATGAAACTCTCCTCACAAGTCGGAGTGATTGTGCATCTAAAGCTATCTAAGACATGTTCTTTGATATGCTTTGAGGTCTAACTCTTCTTCTAACAAATTTAAAAAAACGTTAAAAAATCTTTCTTAAACCATAAATCTTCAGCTTGTCTTTGATTTTCTTCTTTCAAAAGAAATACTCATTACGTCCATAATATAATAACGCTAAAACCAACCTTCACAAATGTGTAAAATAATCATTTTATTCAATTGCAAAATTGAGTGTATTTCTATTTTTGCTCGATTGCAGGCTTAAGATTAGGGTTCAAACCCTTTACTTTGAATGATAAATATTAGATGAATAGATCAAATTATGATTTTTTTTTATATTTTTTTTAAAGCAAGACAATGCATGCAAGAAGCTTAAACAATATCACGAGCATTGCTATATTTTGAAAGATGACTATCACTTATTATGGAATAATGAGTGTTTTGCTGATTGATGATTTAAAAAAAGAATGTCATCCCTTCATATTTTATTATATTAATTGTTACTTATAGATCGTCACATTCATTGATCAACATAAATATTAAAAGATTTGAAACCAGAGATAAGTCTCAATTCAGAGGTATGAATGATTTAACTATTTTTTGATAATAATTTTAATGAAACTAAAATACTGATAAAAATGTGATGATATTGAAATAAATAAAAGATTTGAATTAGTAGAGAAGTTCAATAAGTATGAATGAAATGTCATTATGGAGCAAAAGATGCAAGATATTGATATCAAGTTTTGAAAACTAAACAAATGAAATTATCAAACTTCATTCAATAGATAATAAAAAAAATTCAAAAATAATAATTACAACTGACAAAATGAAGATTTTTGAAGATAAGTTGATGGCTTAAAAGTAAATATAAAGATAAATCATGACAAAATATAATGCATTCAAGATGAAATGGACGCATATGTATAAAATATCATGTTTCGATGTTGAGTATAATTTGAAGATAAAAAATGTTATGATTAGTCAATGTATGTGCTTAACAGATTTAACATGATAGACTGTAAAGTGTTTTGAACCGCTTTGGTAACACAGTTCAAGCTTTTTGTGGTTTCATGTCCAATAGAGTTCATAAAAAGCAAAATATATTGTTAACTTCTGTCAAGAATAACAGCTTTATCTATTTGATGTAGTAGACTACATCTGATATTTTTAAAATTATGACCAAGATGAAGAGATATATGTCAAATTAAGAAAGTTTGCTTTAAACGTTTAAATCTTCTATTAATTACAAAATGCTAGAAAGTTTGAAATGTAATTTCATGATTTAACAATAAATGACAAATTCTTGTTATGCTATGTTGATGTTCATTATTTACAGAGTTTGAATAAAACAATAAACATGTATTAACTAAATTTATACACTTCAAGTTTACTTTGCAAAATTGCAAAGCTTCAATTATTACAAAAATTGATTATATAGCTAAAGGGGAAAATTAAAAATCTTTATTTTATTTAAAAAATTAATAATTAAGATGAAATTGATATAAAATATTGTAAATCTTTATTGTAATAGTTAAATCATATTACATTTTTTCATATAGTCAATAATTAATAGCTGAATGAAACACAAGAACATTATATTTATTTGATCACATATGCAATGTTTTGATAATTTTTCTGAGATAGTTAATTTTAATGACAAACTCTGTCCAATTGATCCATTGAAAAAAAATGCATTTTTTAAATAAATGTGCAAAAATATTGAATTATTATGCAAATTTCGCATAATGAAACAAATTTTATTAATGGTAAATTTTATTTATATATATACATACATACATACATCTAATTCCATTGTGTTTGAATTTAGTTATTTGTAAACATTAATTTGCTTCAAAAAATTTTGCAAAGTAATCATATTGGTTACAAAGCGTAATTTCCTATATACATGTATCAAGAAACAAAGTATTCAAAAATCACTAAAATTTTGTAAATAGAAATAAATTCAAGTTTAATCTATTAAAAAAATCAGCTTGCTATTAAAAAAATATATATGCTGTAGCAATCAATGACACATACTTTGTAATATTGTTAATGCTATATTTTGATTTCGTAAACATAAGCAAACTAAGCTATATAATGTATTTGTGAATGTTTACTTTATTGTTATAACTTTATTGATGACGAGACCAATGAATTTTTGCATGAAATATGTTTTTAAATTCAATTTCTGTAATAAAAAAACTGCATTGTTTTAATTCTTCAAAAAAGAGGGAATTTTATCAAATTTTTCTTTTAATAACAATAATTCATTTAAATAATTATAATTATCACTCAAAATTAATTTTTTTTTCAAATAATTTTGGAAAAAGAAAACTATTGTTTAATTTTCAAAATTTTATTTTCAATCTAAAAAAATGTGGTATTTTTTATTTTTATTCATATTATAGATTCAGTAGCTAAATTGCAGTTGATTATAGATTCATCCAAATGAATTTTATCAAAAGATTAATTTTCTTTCTAAAAGCTAGATAAAAAGTAATCATTTAAATTTTAAGTGTTATAAATACATTATTCATGTATTGATCTGAACATTGTTGCATATAGGTTAAAATTTAATTCTTAAATAAGGTTTTAAAATAGTTTTCAAAATATCAGAGGTTTATATCAACCATTCATATGCAGTGCTTACAAGCTCTTAAATTTTTTCTTCAACATAATTCTCTTGGTGTGTTTGATTTTTTATATTAATCAATAATTAGAAAAGGAAAATTTATAAATCAGTTTGATTATTCTTGACAAGATCAAATAGAAGATGTTTTGCAATAGTGAATGATTTATTTTCTATATTTTGACCCAAAAAAATAAGCTTAATTGAAAAATTGTGTTCACATGTCTTTTGCTAAAATCGTAACAGATGTTATTTCAAGCGCAATCTTTGAGATGAGATGAAACGGAATTGGAATTTTAATATATGAAAACATTGATGTAAAAATCTTAGATTGTAAGGTTTTATTAGTCATAGTCAATCAGTGGGTAAATAATTTCTCAAGGAAGTTGTTCATCACCCAATTTTTATTGGTCACAATATATTATCAGTGAATTGATTCTTGTAGAGTGGTTATCGAAGAATAGGAAAAAAATCTCTGGTGAAATAATCACAACATGATGATAAAAAATCTAAAACAAAATGTATTGACGAATCCTGATATATTTATTTATTTACACTGAAAGAAATCATGGCCAACAAAGAAATGTTTACTACGTTTAAACCTAAACAAATATTAGTATAGTGGTACATCCACTCTTAAAATACGGTTAATTAGAGTTATGAATGCAATACACCAGTAAATCGAGGACAGAATGTAGAAAATGCAGCTGATTAGTAAATTAGAGAGTAGTGTGCATTTGAGCCGGTTTGAAGTTAAATATCCCGTCCGGATGACAACGGGGACAAAATGGGGTGTTGAAATGGGAGGAGACTGAAAGAAGAGGAAATGTGGAAGAAAATCTGATATGAACATGAGAGTACAGTACAGTTCTGTACACGCACTTCAGTGTATTCCCGAGGGTCCGAGGAAGCCGATCTACGGGTAGAGCTGGTCAGACGTCAAACAACTCAGAGACAGGGCAGGGCAGGGCAGGGCAGGGCGGGTCAGGACTGAGGTCAGGTCAGGTCAGGTCAATTCAAACGATTTCAGAAAGTGGGATCTCGGACTCTCTGAGATTCCAGTACTCGTCCTCCTCGTCCTCCTCCTCGTCGCCAGTACAGTATGCTCAAGTTGGCGAGTAACTTTCTTTGAAGTCCTTGACGGTTCGCCATCATGTGCCACTTTGTTGCGGGCTGTGTACTTTCGGGGTTTTGCCCGCGTCGTTGCGCGAGCTTGTCTTGCACTGCGCGGCGAGTGTACTGTACTTTTGCTCGGTCGCCAGATCTGATCGTCGGATGTCTTCGACTGTCGCCAGGGCGGAGAAAACTTCCGGACGCCAAAAAGCGCAAGAAAGAACCGCCGGAAAGAACACAAGCAGCAGGATCCTCAGAAATTCAATGTACGTACTCGCGTTTCATTGGCCTGTCCGACCCTCAAGACACACATCCCCGTAATGTCGAGTGTGGGCCCATGGGCGTTAAACGGACAGCGAGAGGGTCGATCAGGTCAAAAGCGGAGTGACACATTTGTTCAGCCTCCTGAGACGCGAGCGTAATTAGCGTCTTAAACCGGTGGGGTGTCAAGGTCTCGGCGCGTCGATACGCCAGCCCTCGACCGCGACCTACTGATTACCTGCTAATGCCTGATAATTAGATTTCTCGTATCTCTGGATATGGTCCGAGTCGAACCTTAGAATCTTGCGGCGCCCCTTTGAGACGAATCTTATTAGATCTTGAATGAACCTCGAAGCTTTGGACTCCAGTAAAAGCGCCAGCTTAGATCTCCGGGGTCAGGCGTGTTGGAGGCTTGGAGGCTTGGAGCAAGGGAGCGTAGGGTTCAACTGTGTGTAGGTCTAGCTGTTGTCGAAGTACATGGTTTTTCCGCATACACTCTGTTGCCCCCACTTGACTTTCTACCATCGTTGCAAATAGTGAAATAATGAATGATGAATCCAGAGATTTGTAAGGGAGATGGTAGGCGTACACTTCCTTTTCTACTCGACGATTCTGACGAAAGTACACCAAGTATTGTTGGAATATGTGGCAGTGTTTCAACTATTAATAGAATCTGGTTATAACACCTTATCACCCCGATTGATCTCGCTAAAAACAAAAGGTTCTTCTGATTTCATCTCGCTGCCGAGGAACGATGCCTGCCCGCCTCACAAACTCATTGCCTCATAATATTCAAGCCATTTCCAAAAGCAACTTTGATCTCTCTCTCTCCCTCTCTCTCTCTCTCTCTGGAATCTGGTACAACAAGCTGCTCGCCTTCCACAAATAGTCATCCCTCTCCTCCCAGGTAATCAATCTGGCACATCGGTCAGATCGTTTGTCCCGAACGAAGGTCAGACTCTCAGAGCAAGCCTGAAACTCCTCTGCATCAATTTCCTATTCTGGAAACCAGCCCTTCAACAGCCACAACCACAACCCTAGATCTTTCGTCGTAGTCTTTTACCCACTAACTGATAGTCAGGCCCAACTAGCATAACTTTGACAAGCCAGCGTTGCATTGCCTTGGCTTCGCTTCGCTTCCGTTCGCCTCGCCTCGCCTGCCAGCTGCACATCTCTGAATCCAATACGTTAGACTTAACAATGAATCAACTTGGCCCCCTTTACCAAAAAATAAAGAAAAAAAAAACACTTAAGAATGAATCAGCATTAAGTCCGTCTCGCCACCTCTAGCGATTTGACACATGGCCTTTCTCTCCTCTCCTCTTCTGTTCTAAGCTGCCAACTGGTGTTCCTCGATTTGTAGGCCTTGGGAGTACTACCGTAGAGTAGAGTAGAGTAGAGTAGAGAACAGAACGACGACCCATGGCCACGACATGTCAATAACTGACTTGTTTGTCTTTCATTGCTTTCCACGATTGTGCGAGCAGCCAGAGTTTCCGTTCGTCCGTCGCTCGTAGAGGGAATAATACGTTTCGCCGGTGTTCAAGATAGACGAAGGGAACAACAAAAGGTGCTTAAGGGAATATGATGGCCAATAGTGGCGGGATATTATACCGCAGTAAGCAAGTAAATGAAACGCGCCAAAACACCTACCAATGGAGGGCTAATGATGGCGATGAGATGTGGAATAAGGGGCTGAATCTCAAGTTACAATCGGTTTCGAAAGCATGAGGGTCTGTGGGCTCCTTCTTGCTTTTGCCGCGAGGAGACCATGTTGTACCCATTTTATTAATTATCATAACTCTGTGCAATTTGCTCGGTATGAGGCTTGTTCCTCGTATTTTGCCTTTCAATAATTCCACTTAAGCACGCCGAGATGATGATCCTCCGCGAAGGCCGCTAATACCGTTGCTCTGGCCTTGAATGGTGTACTGTCCACATCTGCACAACTTTCACTGTTGTCATCGAGCTATTCATACAAGCCGATGAGAATGAAAAAAAGGACGCACACCATGTGCATTGGAAATGTGCGAATATTAGTGGCAGAAAAGTCGGAATCAACGGATGTTCCAAATATAATATTGGAAAAATTAGTCGTCATAAATTGTTCACACAAAGCTATATACAAATATTTCGAAAGAACACTCATTAATTTCAATCATCAATCACGAGTATTATATTTGCGAAAGTGGCAAGACAAAGTCAGTCAGCACTGTCATGGGAAAGAAACACAGAGTATATTTCTCTTCCCAGAATTTTGGATCACGTACTATTTAAATCCTAAATGTTGCTATCTAAATCCTGGATCAACTCCAATTATGAAGTCATGCAATATCTACATAATGTCCACAACTCAAGCGCACACGATTGAATCAACCCATGTTCAATTGGATTGCAACGCTTTGGCAACCAGACATTGAATACGCATTCTTCTATTTAGTATTTTTCAGACATATCCGAGTAATTATGCTACTTCAAGATGTGCATGAAATTCACTCCTTCGCAGAGAGATTTAGTTAGATTTAGAAAAAAATGAGAAAGATTTGCTTGATGGGACCCCTGCGGAAAGTAATTTGCTTGATGGTACCATTCAGGTTTCATTTTACCCGATGGGACCCCATGTAAGATGCACCGTCACCCATGTTCTAATAACAACTAGAGAGAGTGCAACGAGTCCACCGCAGACAAAGTGGACTTCGCACTCCATCACACTCACTTGTTTTTATGTTGTCATTCTGTATCCGGCCACTCTCCAAGGAGACGAGCAAAGAAATGTTCATCCGGAGCTTATTTGTTCGCCACAAATGGGTGATCGCGAGACTTGAGCTCGGACCACGCAGGGTTACATAAGGAGTGTGCAGGTGGGAGGCAACAGAGAAATCCGTGAATCTTTACTATCAGAAGAATTGAAGCACAACAAATTGCACTTAGAGCAAAATCGATTTTTGTCCCCGTGATAATCCACCAAAAATTATAACCAGGGATTGATCTCTGATTGTAATTCTCGCATTGTAACTAGTAGTAATCATAGTTACAAGAACTATGTCCGACGGCACACCGTCGTTGGGGTCCCATCGGGTAAAACTAAACCTGAGGGGTCCCATCAAGCAAATTACTTTCCGCATGGGTCCCATCAAGCAAATCTCTCAAAAAAATGATCATAGCAGCCGAACAAAGATCAATTTATGCAAAAAACATACACATTATCAATATGATCAGAAATGAAAACAGAACCTTCTGTTGAGAATGAAGATAATGAAGAGTTATGTTTGTAACCTTGAATCGTGGAGATGTATTCGTTAAATTACACATCTTCTCATCAAGATGAACTTATACAATTCTCAATTTACTAACCAAATTTAAAATATATAAAAATAATCTTTATCCTCTCTCATAACTTTTCACTCCTACATTTTTTTAGAATGAAAAAATGACACAAAGATAAAGATATCAAACCATATTTTGGTTCATCACATTTCCTATTGAATGGTAGAATGTAATAGAACTCGTCTTTAATATTCTTGGTCCAAAATAATAATTAATCACATATTAATATATTATTTAAATATATCTTATTTGTATTCGTTTGCTTTTTCTTTTTCTTTTTCTTAATTTTTATCTTATTTTTTCCCAAGAACTTGAACCTGAATTGTCATACATTACTTCCATTAAAATTCAACTGAATTTCAAACTTATACACCATGCTATAATTATTTGAATATTGCTAACTCGTGCATGCAGTTTATGAACATCTACTGTAAGTCTTATTTTCGATCCTCCGACGATGGCAGAAACCAGATAACATAAATATAAATTAATTGAATTAAATTCCAATAAAAATTTGAACCAGTAAAATTTTCAAAAAATCATTTAAATTTCATATTTCATATTTTTATATTTATTACGAAAAAAAATTTATATTTGGCTATGAAGATTGATAACATGTAACTTAATTTTTTTCAAAACCATCATGGGGATTGAGAAAAAACATCTGAATTTGTAATCAAATCATTTCGTCTTGATATGATTCACATTTAATTTATGTAGCGTCACATGTATGATAAAAGATACCTTGATATTAAAATCTATAAATCATGATATCATTGATCTTTTAAAATCAGTGTTTTCAAATTTATTGTAATGAAAAAATATATTTCATACATGGATATCTTGTGATACATTTTGTTGATACATATGATAAAATAAAAATCTATCCTTAATATTTTGCAATTCTAAAGATATATTTACTTCGAATGTTATATTTTCATTAAATCTACACAAGATGACCAAAATTTTATACTTAATAACATTTTGAATAATAATTTAGAGCATACAATTTCTTATGATACTGAAACTAAATAAAATTTGTATACTTGTACACTTGATCAATATTCAAAATGTCAAACATTTTAAAAGCAAAAACACATGGTACATCATCAAAATTATGTAATTATATAACCTAATTTGTGTCAAAAAGATCGTTAATTATTTTTAAAATATAGAAATAGCTGATATTATTTAACTAATCAAAGTTAGATCAATATAAGATAAACCTCAACAATCTCTAAACAAAATTTACAACATACCATTTTATTAATTTCAAATTTTAATATAAGATTTTATGATGATATTCACTTATCATAATAACATTAAAAATTCAAAAATGTCATCATCATTAAAAAAATTATTCCAACATATATTAATTTAATAAAACTAAAATTTGATCTGCAATTTGATTTATAATGTAGCATTAAACATCTACATGTATGCAAATATTTATATGGTCCAACTTTTTCCCTATATCAAAAGTCAACACAACCAAATTCTTGTATACTATAGTTCCAAAAATCCAACTAACTATGGGGTTGTGATAGTGACAAATTTTGAGGAAGAAAAAGAGAAAATTTCGTGTAGGATGCTTGACTTCGAGAATCTTTTCTGGGGGATGGTGCTCAACACACGTATCTATATCATTTTATCGTTCAGTATTTATCATTGAATTTATGATTACAAAAGTAACAGATAATTTAAATATGTGTTGTAAAGAGTTTTCAATGATATATGTTTATAAACATTTCAATCTTGGTATCCCTAATGATTATTAAAATAGTTAGTGCTATTCACAACCAAGAAAATATATGATAAATTTTCTTTTGAATATTGTTTTAAGAATTTTAACCTGTTAAAAAAATATGACTACTCCACAAGAAAAATATATTGTTTGCAATTTTTATGTGAAAGATGTATAATTTTGTAGCTCCTCATTATTAATACAAAATAAACAAATTTAATATTAATTGCTTAACAATTTATCAACCATTTTCATGAGCTTGATTTTTCTATAATTACTGCATATAAAATAATCAACTTTTATGTTGATGTATTTCATTTTTGTGTCTATTGTTCAGTTAATAGCATTATATGATCATAATAAACATTTCTAATACTTGTCTTCAATATTTTTCTAATAATTAATATATTAAATCAAATAAAATTTTTTGTACCTACAATACTTCTACATGATCAAATATTTGAATTAACTAAAATAAGCATTAATTTAATATATAATCAATATACATTATAGTTTCTAGAACAATGTGATCGTGAAAAACTTTTGTTCAATGAAAAATTGAACAAAGTTTTTGCACATTATACAAAATATGAATTTTTGATTAAATTTATCTTTAAAAATTAACTTACACCTAGATTGGTAAAAAAATGAAATTTAATCTGTATTAAAAAACGTTGAAATCTTAAATATGTAATATTAATATTGTGGGATTGAATGTATATTTTTTTGAGATAATCAAACTACTTATCAATATATATGATACTCATTGATATGTAGTTTCATCTATCTAGCTTAAATTTTATTGAAATTAAAATTGTTTGAAGATTAAATTAAAATTAAAATTTCATGATTATAACATACAACTTAATTTTATTTCGTCGGCTTAAAAAGAATAAATTGTAAAATCCAATAGACTCAATTGATTATATTTATTTTGAATTTTTATTTGAACAAATTTCAAACTATTTGAAAAAATCACATCTACTATTACATGTACACATAATGAAGTATTCAAATTTTCAATTGAATTCAATTCAATCCAAAACGTTTATATCATATATCTAATGAACAAATTTTGTTTTTAATATAGATGAGATGCAAATTTCAAAAAATAAACATTATATTATAAAGTGATTTATTGTGAATAGATGATGAATAATAAATTTTATTGCAATTGTTTATATCAATGAAAATTACAACATCATATTAGTGTTTAAATGTAAAGCTTTCAAGTAATATTTAATTTTAATCTTAATTTGAAGTCTTCAAGTTTTGAAAATATAAAATTTAACATTTTTGATAATTATATATATTTATTCATAAAAAAATTTAATAATCAGTGATAAAAAATCATTTGTATCTATTGTACTAAAGTGAAATATATACAAAAAAATTTCACACCGCATTATATACATATTAAATTTTATTGTTTTGATTCATGTTTAAAAATCTTTAGTTTTTTCATGAGATTTGATAATAACATATTGCTCATAAAATTTTGAATTGACTCTACTTTATTTAAATATAAGAATATTTTATTTTATTTTAATCGTATTTTTTATTTTCCAACATAGTACAAAACGTGAATAATTTTGAGTCTAAATCTACTAAAATTTGAAGATTT